CTAAAGAGAGTCCCGCCGACTGGTTCCACTGTTCCAGGATGGGGGGGTCACACTAAACAGAGCCCAACATTATAGAATTCTAGATGGTCCCAGCCCAGGAGTAGCCCAGCCAGGGCCCTTGATTTTTAGAATTTTGAGAATTTTTAGAACTGGTCAAATTTTAAGAACTGAGTTCAAAATTCTGAGTTCAAAATTCTGAGTTCAAAATTCTGAAAACTCTAAAGACCGGACCCCCAAAATTCAGAATATTGAGATTTCAATTCTGAAAATTCTAGAAAATTCTAACAGCCGAACCCCGGAATTTAGAATTTTTATGCTAATTTTTAGATTTCTAGATGGTCCCAGCCCAGGAGGGGCCCAGCCAGAACCCTTGACTTTTATAATTTTAGAACTTTTTAGAATGTTTAGAATTGAGTTCTAAAAATTCATCAATTTGCAATTTTTAGAATTGGTAGAACTAATTCTAAGAATTCTAAATTTTTGGGGTCCGAATTTTAGATTGTTGAGAATGTTTAGACCTCAATTCTAGAAATTTTAGACGTTCTCAAAATTCTAAAACTTCTAAAAGTCAAGGGTCCTGGCTGGGCCCCTTCTGGGCTGGGACCATCTAGACTTCTAAAAATTCTAAATTTGTTGGGTCCGATTTGTAGATTTTTTAGAATTTGGCTCTAAAAGTTTATTGAAATTCTAGATTTGGAAAATTCGAGTTTTAGAACTTTTAGAATTTTAGAACTCAATTCTAAAACTTCTAAAAGTTCTAAACATTCAACAAAACTAAAAATGAAGGGCCCTGGCAGGGCCCCTCCTGGGCTGAGACCGCCTAGAATTCTAAAAGAACTGTAACATTGAATAATTTTTGAGAGTTCAATTCTACAGTTTCAAGATCAGAAAAAGTTTCCTGCACGCCCCTGGGCTAGGACGTGAAAGGCATGTCGCCCCCTTTGTTCGCGAGTAACAAAGAGGTTGGAAAGAGTGAGGAATGGATGGGAAGGTGGAGGACATGCCTCTCACTAGCGTAAACGGGGTAGGAAGACACATGAAAGACGCTTCTCTTTTTAGCTGTTCCCTTTCATGCTACTCCTTTCTCTTTTCCACGCCTTTACCCGCAACCACAAGTAGCTGTGGGATGGTGATGCGTGCTGGGCCAGCCCTCACAAGGCTTCTCTCTTCGTTCGTCCACCATTACCTCTTCATCCACATCCTTTCATCTCCTTTCTCCTCGTCAATAGTAAAGGTCTTAGAATAAAGACGAGGAAAGAAGATAGGAAAGGACAGGCAATGGAGCTTCAGCTCGTCTCATGCCTTCGCCAGCTCTAGAGCCAACATAAGAGACATCTCTTTCTCTCACGTAGAGTCCTTGCTATTGTTCCGGAATGACGAGATGGCGTGGGAAGGCGTGTGAGAGGGAGATGACCAGATCCCCCATCATTATCCTATCTGTTAGAGCTGGGCCAACGGAGAGAGCAAGAGAAAGAGATGGAGGGTGGTCATGTGATGGCTAATGAAACATAAGGCCATCATCACCCTCGCATTATCTCTTCTTTTTACCTCTCATTGCCTTCTCCTATTTCTCTATCTTCTAAATCTTGGAGGTGGATGAGGGAGGAGATGGGATGATAGGGAAAGCGTGATGAGGCCTTCCCACCCACTCTCTTCCCTCATCCACCTCCCAATCTCGTTTCCCTCGCTTGCAGGTGATGAATGAGTGAAGAAGTAAGCGAAGAGAACAAGCAAGGAAGAGAAAGGGAAAGAGATGTTACCTTTATAAAAGTGTTTCCAAACTCCAAGAGATATCAAACGAAATGCATTGCATCTCTTTCATTCCCTTTCTCCAGGCCTTTGCCTATCTTGTCATCCCCAAGAATACTAAAAGAGACTGGGAATGTCGGGTAAAAATGGTTGAGAAAGAGATAGAGAGTGAACGGTTAGACCAAGAGCTGGGACAATCAGGACATTCCAGCGCGCCTGAAGGAAGAGGAATTCATTTGTAAATGCTGGCAAGAACTGGCCAGCGGGTGGGGTTTCCTCTAATCACCTCCCACCTAATCACCCCATCTCTCTCTCTCTCGTCATGTATTTCCTTGCTCCTTTCCATTCTCACCGTTGCAACGGACAGGAAAGGAGAAGGGTAGGAAAGACAATTATAAAGAAGACCCCATTCTGGGTTCGATCACAGGACTAAGGGAAAGGAGATGTTGGTGATAGAGAAGGAGAAGGAATTGCATTCCTTTCTCTGGCATAGAATCCTCGCCACTCCAACATTAAGAGATGGCAGCGGAAGGTTTGTGAGAGGGAGATGACCAGCTCCTCCATCATTATCCTATCTGTTATTGCTGGAGCTGGGTAAGGAATGTCCTTCTCCACCATGTGTGGGCTCTTAGGATCGCATGGTAAACCAACGGAGGAGGGCCGTTATATGATGGCTAGTGAAAAACAAGGCCATCATCACCCTCACATTCTCTCTTCTTTTTACCTCCCACTACCTACCTTCTATTCTCTATCTCTCAAATCTTGGAGGTGGGTGAGGGGTGAGAGGGAAAACGTGACAAGGTGACTGCACACCCACCCTTCCCACCCACTCTCTTCCCTCACCCACCTTCTGAAGCTTGCAGGTGACGATCAGTGAAGAAGTGAACGAAGAAACAGGACAAGCAAGGGACAAAGAAACAGATATTACTATCATAAAAGCGTTTCCATATTCTAACGGATGTGAAACAGCATCTCTTGCAGTTCCAAAGCTGCTAAAAGAGAAATGACAGGTAAAGATGATTGGGGAAGAGATAGAGGGACAATAAGGACATGCCAGCTCGTCTAGCTTTCATTCACTTCCCTTCTCTTGAACTCCTCTTTCCCAAGGTAACTTATACTTGGGGAAGAGATTAGGAGAGAGAAGCTGAATAGAGGTGAAGGAAGAGGAATTCATTTGTAACCGTTGGAGAGAAGGGGCCAGCGGATGGGATTTCCTCTGGCCTCTCACCTAATCACTTTACCTCTCTCGTCATCAATGTCCTTTCTCCTTTCCAACGGCTAGGAAAGAAGAAGGGATGAAGAGATAGGAGAGAGAACTAGATTGAAGAACCCAGATGACATGAAAGACATTCTGGATTCTGTGACATGGTTAATGGAAAGGAGATGTTGGTGATAGAGAAGGAGATGGAATTGCATTCCTTTCTCTTGCATAGAATCCTCGCCGCTCCAGAATTAAGAGATGGCAAGGGAAGGCGTGTGAGAGGGAGATGACCAGCTCCTCCATCATTATCCTGTCTGCTAGAGCTGGAGCTGGGCAAGGAATGTCTCTCTCTACTATTTGTTGTGAATTCTTGGGATCGCACGCCAGGTAAACGACTGGAGAGAGCGAGAGAGAGATGGAGCGCGGTCATATGATGGCTAATGAAAGAGAAGGCGCCATCATGACTCTCACATCATCTCTTCTTTTTACCTCTCATTACCTATCTCCCATCATCTCTAGCTTAGGCGGATGAGGGAGGAGATAGGGTGAGAGGGGTGATAAGGTGAGCCACACCCACCCTTCCCTCACCCACCTTCCGAGTGGAGGGTGGTCATATGAAGGCTTTGAAAAAGGCTAATGAAAGGGAAGGCCATCATCAACCTCACATTACCTCTTCTCTTTACCTCTCATTCCGGTAGCCCACTCTCTCCTTCACCTACCTTTTTAATCTCCTTTTCCCTCGCTTGCAGGTGATGATGAGTGAAGAAGCGAGCGAAAAGTCAGGGCAAGCAAGGAAGAGACAGGGAAAAATAAAAGCATTTCTATATTCTAAGAGATATAAAACAGAGATGCTCTCCATCTCTTGCATTCCCTTTCTCCAATCTATTTTCCTCTCATGTCACTCTCCCAAAGCTACTAAAAGAGAATAGGAATGACAGGTAAAGATGATTGGAATTGGACAATAAGGACATTCCAGCTCGTCTAGCTTTCATTCACTTCGCTTCTCTTGACCTCCCTCGTTTCCCAAAGTAACTTATAACTGGGCAAGAGGCTGGGAAAGAGAAGCTGAATAGAAGTGAAGAACAAGGAATTCATTTGTAACTGCTGGAAAGAATTTCCTCTCTCCTTTCCATTCTCACCGTTGAAACGGCTAGGAAAGAAGAAAAATGAAGAGATAGGAAAGAGAATTAGAATGAAGAACCCAGATGACATGAAAGACATTCTGGATTCTGTCACATGACTAAGGGAAGCGAGATGGTTGCATGGCCATCCCTCCTTGCCAACTCTCTCAGCTCTTTCCCCACCCCCACCTCCATCTCAGCTTCAAGGAAGCTGTAGGTGGCGAGGAATAGAAATGAAGGGGAGAAAGGGTGGTGGTAAGATAGAGGCTTGAAATGAAGTGAGTGCGTGATAGAGATGACAGAGAGCCTGATGTAGGCAAGAGATGGAAAGGTCATAAGGCCAGATGAGGGGATGGGGCAGTGAGATTGTCAATCAATGAGTTTTTTTTCTCTCTCTCGCCTTCTCTCCTCTCTCTACCTCCCCATCACCCAACCTCTGCTTCCGAGAAAAAGAGTTGGGGTGATAAAGGGAAACAAGAAGGGGGAAGAAATAAGCAATGGAGATTCCTTAGCCCACCCTTCCTTGAGATCTTATTGGGTAGGCTTATCCTGTCTATAGACTCTCTAGACCCAATTATGAATTGATTATTGTAATCTCAGACACTACACTCTACAGTCCTATTGCTTGGTCATTTCTGTATCACCAATTAACCACTGTCATGTCTGTATTTTGCTCCATTGATAAGACTTCTGAAGTCCATGACATCAATAATCGCAAGGAAAGAGAAACACAAAGAGCTGAGAAATACAATTAAACATGAGATACGTTAAAATAGACTGTAAAAAAATGAATTGGAATTAGTTTCTGGGTTGACCTGACCGTGCAAATCTGCGACGCTAGCAAGTGCTGAAAAAGGAGCCGGCTGACATTATACGCATTGTTCCCTGCCACCCCCTCCCCCCCCGCCGAGCCCCCCCCCCCCCCCGGCCGCTGCAAAGCATGGCTCTCGCGGTCCGCGCCACTAACGGCCGCTTGGACACAACGCACGTCCGGCTGCTTGAGGAGACTTGATGCCCAGCGTGCGCAGCAACTTCTCTGCAGCAAGGCAACACAATCCGGGCCGGAAGGCCTGGCCAATTCAACGCCCACGCGGGAGCAAGTAGACGCAAGCAGTTTGCACGCAAACCTGGCACTATCCTTGGCAAGTGGAGATATACGTGTTCGTCGCGGTCGCGAAACATAGGATAATCCTCAGAGCTCATCTTGAGCGCAGTGGCACATAGCTTGCTAGTCGCGGCTTTCACCCTGCGCCACCTGGCGACAGAGCGCTGGAGCAACACGGGAACAAGAAACTCCCGCAAACTGTCCATGTTCGGGTGGGCGGGGCTTGATGCAAACTCAGGGAGACACCCGTCTCTCCAGGCCGCAAAATGAATCACAGCGCAGCACAAGGAAAAACTTGGCCTCAACATGGTAAATTCGCTGTGAAGACCACACAATGCCAGCAGCGCCACGCATCAGCCTTCCCCTTCGAGGCGAGGCAAGTAATTGATGCCTCAAGCGAGCCAAAATGAAAGCCCTACCAACAAACTCAGGTGCCTGACTAGACTGCAACGTCGAGCTATCCCCCCCCTGACAGCTCCAAGTTTGGACTGGGCTTTGCTTTTACTCCCGATCAGCCAGAGACAGGACAACATCGATAAGACAGAGCGCGAGCGTAAGCATTTACGTACAGATGCGCATGTGTGCGCGCGAGCTCGCGCGTGTGATGCGTCTCTGTGTCCGCGAGTGCGTTGTGAGTGAGAGTGTGTGTGTGTGTGTGCGTGTGCCTGTGCGTCCTTGATGTTGGGATGTCTGCTGTTGCTGCTGCTGCTGGTTCTGTTGCTGTTGCTGCCGTTGCTGTTGCTGCTGCAGTTGTTGGTGGCGCTGCTGTTGCTGCTGCTGCTGTTGCTGCTGCAGTTGTTGGTGGCGCTGCTGTTGCTACTGCCGCTGTTGCTGCCGTTGTTGTCGTTGTTGGTGTTGTTTTTGCTGTTGCTGTTGCTGCTGATGCTGCTCTAGCTGTTGTTGTTGCTGTTGTTTGCGGCTGTTGTTGCTGTTGCTGTTGCTGTTGCGGTGGTTGTTTGTGTTTTTGTTGTTGTCGCGGTCGTCCTTGTTGTTGTTCTCGTTGCTGTTGCTGTTGCAGTGGTTGCTGTTGTCGATGTTGATGTTGCCGTGTTTTGCAGTTGTTGCTGTTGCTACTGTTGTCGCAGTTCCTGCTGCGGTTGTTGTTGCCGTTGTCCTCGTCGTGGTTGCGGTTGCTGTTGCTGGTGTCACTGTTGTTAGTGTTGCTGTTGTGTCTGCTTTTGTTGTTGTCTTGGTTGGGATTGTTGTTGCTGTTCTTGGTGGTTGTTGGTTTGTGGTGTTGCTTTTCTTGCCGTTGCTGCTCTTCTTGTTGTTGTTGTTGTTGTTGTTGTTGTTGTTGCGGCGGCGGCGTTGCTTTTCCTGTCGCAGCTGTTGCGGGTCTTGTTGTTGATGAGGATGTTTTTTGCTGCTGCTGTTGCTGCTGCTGCTGCTGCTGCTGCTGCTGCTGCTGCTGTTGTTGTTGTTGTTGTTGTTGTTGTTGTTGTTGTTGTTGTTGTTGTTGTTGTCGTTGTCGTTGTCGTTGTCGTTGTTGTTGTTGGTGGTGTTGGTGTTGGTGGTGGTGTTGGTGTTGGTGTTGGTGTTGGTGTTGGTGTTGTTGTTGTTGTGGTTGGTTGGTTGGTTGGTTGGTTGGTTGGTTGGTTGGTTGGTTGGTTGGTTGGTTGGTTGGTTGGTTGGTTGGTTGGTTGGTTGGTTGGTTGGTTGGGTGGTTGTTGTTGTGGATGATGACGTTATTCTTCTTGTGTGCGTGGTTGCTGCTGTTGTTGTTAATGACGTGTGTGACAATGATGACGCTGTTCGGGCTGTTGTTGCGGGTGCTGCTGCTGAAGCTGCTGATGTGGCTGTGGTTGCGGTTGTTCATGTTGATGTTGTCGTTGCCGGTATTGCTATTTTGTTCCTGTCGTTGCTGTGGCGGCTGGTGGCGCCGTTGCGTTCATGTTGCTAATGTTGTTGCTGATGATGCTTGTATCTGCTGCTGCTGCTCTTGTCGGTGTTGTTGGTGATATTCCTGTTGCTGTTGCTTTCTTTTTTGACTTTTCTGGTGGTGGTGGTGGTGGCGGCGCTGGAGGCGGTTGCGGCGGCTTTGCCGGCGTTGACATATGCGATGTTGATGATGTTCCTGCTGCTGCTGAGGTGTTTGCTAGTGGTGGGGCGGTGGTGGTGTCATTGGCGTCTCGCGCTGTCGTTGCTGTTTCGGTTGCTGTTGCTGCTGCTGCTGTTGTTGCTGTCGCTGTTGTTGCTGCTGTTGCTGTTGCTGCTGCTGTCGTCGTTGTCATTGTCCTTGTCGTTGCGGTTGTTGTTGCGGTTGTTGTTGCTGCTGCTGCTGCTGCTGCTGTTGTTGTTGTTGTTGCTGTTGCTGTTGTTACCGTTGCCGTTGCCGTTGCCGTTGCCGTTGCCGTTGCCGTTGCCGTTGCCGTTGCCGTTGCCGTCGTTGCCGTTGCCGTTGCCGTTGCTGTTGTTGTTGTTGTTGTTGTTGTTGTTGTTGTGGTTGTTGTTGTTGTTGTTGTTGTTGTTGTTGTTGTTGTTGTTGTTGTTGTTCTTGCTCTTGTGCGTGTTCTTGCTGTTGCGGTTGCTGCTGTTGCTGCTGTTGCTGTTGCCGTTGCTCTTGCTCTTGCTGTCGCTGTTGCCCTTGCCGTAGCCGTAGCCGTTGCTGTTGCCGTTGTTGTTATTGTTGGTGGTGGTGGTGTTGTTGGTGTTGTTGCTGTTGTTGTTGTGGTGCCGGTCGCTGTTGGCAGTTGTGTTTGTTGTTGTTGGCTGTTGCTGTTGCTGCTCTTGTGTGTCCAAAGCACATGTAGCCTTCTTTGGGAGCGGAAGGCTCCTCAATACCAATCACGCGGCGCCATTGCTTTGAGGACCTTTCTGTGAAAACGGGCATTGTCAATTGAACACGTTCCTGCCCTTGGCCTCTTGGCCCAGGCATTTGGGTTTAGGTGGAAAACCGTGCCGAGTCCGGAGATTTTTCTGCTTTTGCGCATGTACATAGGTAACGGAGCTCAGGGGCAAGTGCGCTCAACATGGCTGCGATTGAGGGCATGTTCGCTCGCGAGTTCACGCTCGGGTACCCGTTTCATGGGGGATGACGCGTTGGACAAGGACCTGTGGGAACAGCGGCCAATCCTTCTTCGGGCCGTGGTGCGCGAAGGACTGCGAACACGTATCGCGATGAATGGCAGGCAACGGCGGTGACAAACTCACGGAGTATTGTTGGCGGTAGCAACCAGAACGTGGCTGCGCGGCATGACAGATTGCGCGTGCAAAAGGACGATGGCCGGAAAAGACTGGATCCGCAGAATGGTGACGGTAGCAAAGAACAACGGGACCCCTACTTCGTAGCACGCCAGCACGAGAAGTACAAGTACGCGCGGCGCTCCAGATGAGTTATCGAGACGTGCGCTGGCGGTCTGCCTGAGGCGGCAGCAGCGCACCGGCGGCTCTTGGGATGCGCTGTGCTTCGCAAAGCTTCAGGTGAAGGGTCGTAATATTGGCATGACCGAGACGGGGGAACATCCTACGGTGGCGGCGACTGGTAATTTAGATTGGCCGGATGAGATAGACCGGTCTGGTTCAATGACGTACCTGGAGCGGCCAACCGTTCTTTATGGATCGGATGGGGCAGTGCTACACCCACGAAGTTGTTCCATCCTGGGATCGACGCTGACTGGGAGACGGCCAGGCAGCTTGAACGGCTACTCCGGACGAGCTGAAGGCGATGTGCGCAGGACTTTGGCCGTCACAGAGGGTAATTCTGCAAAGAGACCAACCGCCGGCGAAGACGACTCACGACTGTTGGGGCGGCGCCGGTCTCATCGTCCTGGGCGTCGGAGCCGGAGCCCTCGTTGATGTCATTTCTCGTCCTCAGCCTCTGACCTTCTCCAATAAAACTGCCAGCTGCCTTTCTCGGGCCAAGATCTGGTGTATCGCCTCCTCGTCCCCTGAGCATCGGCTATTGATTCTCGTCAATAGTATTCCGGTGTTATTGAAGGTGACTTTTACAATTTCTAGTTGGTTCTAACAGACGTCCATTCCATAAGAATTTCAATACTCTGGTCAGTAGAAAAACCTCACAGTTCGAAGGACAAACCAGTAGGGGAATCAATAGAAAACCAGCATGCACTGAAAGCTGAAGCCCTTATTTTTCCCAGCGCGATGCTGATATAGTGATCAGACGGGGTGTGACTGGCGACCTTTGACCAAGAGCTTGCAGCTTTATCAATAGCTCATTTTCTCAAGGAGCTACAAGCGCCCTTTTGCCAAGCGGTAGCACAAGTCGTCGCCGCAGCTTGGGCCGAGCGATGCGCAGAAAGCGACAAGAAGAAACCCCTTGCTGAAAGGGTGGGCGCTAAGACGCCTGCAGCAGGCGGCACTCCTTGTCAAAAGTAGCGTGGACTGCTGGCCGCGCGCGCCACCGTGCTCCATGAACTTGTCGCGCATACCGCCGCGCTCCATGGAGCACCATGGTCCGCGTGGCCTGTTGATGAAGCACGAGGATACGCGCAACCCGTTCATGAATTGGTCGCGCGGTCCGGCAGGCCAACTGTGGTCCAATCAGCAAAGCTCCAGAGGGTGCTGGCGGGGGCTTTGGTAGGGAAGGGGGTCATTTGCGAAAACCGATTTCGCAATCCATCCACGACTCATTTTCGAACACAGGTATGGGGGGGGATGAGGGGGGATGGAGGGGGATAGGGTCTCTGACATATCGAACCTGATGTCTGATGGATCCTAATATATTGGAAGTCCTTGATGCATGGCTGAATGTGAAGATTCCCACAAGACTGCTGAAAGGTGAAAGCGTCATCTGCTGCACCGAGGAAGGTGCAGGGAGAGAGACGTTAAAATCAGATTGTTGTTTACAAGTGCAGGGCTCTGGCTGTAGTATAGGCTCAAGGCCGGCGGTCATGTACCAGCTACGGAGTGAGCCGGAGGCTCTAAAGTTACAACAGGCCAAGCAAGGGGGCGCTCGGGGCTTTTGGCTCACACCCACTTGAACAAAAGCGCGCTCAGAAACGAGAGCTTGCCCGCGTTCAAAAACGAGCCGAAACACGCGAGTTTCCGCCTGTGCTCCTTCACACGCCGCTCCGAAGACCGACCGACACTCCGAGGTGTACCACCCGCTATGCACGAATCGGCGCCCGAGGCAGCCGCCCTAACCCTAGAAACGTCCAGTCAGTGGAGAACCAGCGTCGACCGATTCCGGGAACTCCTCGACAGTCAAGGGCTCCTGGGGGGCTACCGTTTCCGCGATGGGCGTCCAACTCCATTGGCGCAGGCGTCAAGTGTCAACAAGTCGACCGAACTTAGCCCAATGGCACCCGAGTCAAACCATGCAAGCAGCACAGACTCAAGAAAGCCAGCTACAATCTGCAGCAAGCATTCCAAGAAACATCCACGGCAATCCACCCAGGGAAAACCTGCGGCAAGCAATTCTGGCAACATTTGGGGCAAGCAATCCGCAGAAAGCAAACCGCCGCAAGCAACCTGGCAAAACCTGCGGCAACCAATCCCAATCCTGCGGCAAGCAATCCGGGCAAGAGCTGCGGCGCGCAATCCAAGCAAAACCTGCGGCAAGGAATGCGGGCAAAATCTACGGCAAGCGCTCCAGGCAAAATCTGCAATCCGGGCAACATGTGGGGCAAGCAGTCCCTGCAAAACCGGCGGCACTGCGGCAAGCAACACAGCCAAAACCTAGGGCAGGCACAATCCGCGGCAAGAACTCCTGTCAACATCTAAGCGAACGCGGGGCAAAATCTGCGGCGAACAATCCAGGCAATCCAGGCAAAATCTGCGGCACGCTGCAGGCAAAACCTGCGGCAAGCAATCCAAACAAAGTCCGGGGCAAACAATCCGGGATTAAAAGCTGCAGCAAGCAATCAGGGCAAAATCGACGGAAAGGCATGCAGGAATTAGCAACAAGCAATGCAGGCAAAATCTGCACGGAAAACATGCGGCAAGCAACCCGGAAAAACTTCATAGCAGGAAGTCCAAGCAAAACCTGCAGCAAGAAGTTCAGGCAAAATCTGCGGCACCCAGTCCAGGCGAAATCCGCACCCAGAAATCCTGGCAAAATCTGCCGCAAGCAACGTAAACAAAACCCACAACAAGCAATCCAGGCACAATCTAAGGCAAGCAACCCAGGCAACATCTGCCTCAAGGAATCCAGGCAAAATCTGCAGCAAGCAATCAGGAAAAACAAGCAATCCAAGCAAAAGCCGCGGCAAGCAGCCCAAGCAAAATGCACAACGCATGCAAAATGTGCGGCAAACCAAAATGCTAGCAAAAAATCCAGGCAAATATGCAGCAAGCAAGGCATGCTAAATCTGCAGCAACCCAGGCCGAAAACCGCAGAACACACAATGGGGGCAAAATCCGCAGCAAACAACGTGCCGCGCGGTGGACGCGGCCTGTGGTTTTCTCGGTCAATTGACCAACAGAAGCAACAGAAGCTCAAAACCTGCGTTTTCGTTGTAGAGCAAAAACTGCCGAAAAGATGCTTTTTTGACTTTTTAAAAGTTGATCAAGACAGAACAAAGCCACGGACATTTGCCTGGCATGCATACCGTGCTGAGCATCCGCACTGTCTTACCATTTGCCTGGCATGGACACAGCGGTGCACTCCACCAGCGGGTGTTCTTACCATTTGCCTGGCATGGATACCGTGCTAAGCGGGTGTGCTGGCGGGCGCACTCGAGCGAGGATTCAGTGCTGAGCGGGTGTTCTCACCATTTGCCTCGCATAAATACAGTGCTGACCGGGTGCACTGGAGAAGTTGTTCTTACCATTTGCCTCGCTGACATGGATAGTGCCAGACGGATACAGTGCTGAGCGGGTGCGCTTGGAGTGGGTGTTCTACCATTGGCCTGGCACGCCGCCAAGAATGAACGTCACCAACCTGCCCTTCGACTCAGGCATGAATTTTGGTGGAAACATGATCTTGGCTGCATTACCCATCCGTCCGTGCCTGAATTTGTCCAGCAATCCAGCCACCCATCCATCCTTGCCCATTCATAAACGCACCCGCCCACCCAAGCCGCCATTCGCTACCCTTCGTCCACCCCATCCTCACGCATCCGCCTCTCCAAGCCGCCCAGCCCATCCTCTCGCCTTTTCCTCGCCTTCCAGGTTTCTGTGAGCCCGCCGTGAATACGTTGCACCCCTGGAGAAACGCATGGGCGAGGAGGCTTTCTAGGGGCAACCTATCATAATGACAGTGCTGGATCATGTAACACTGCACCACTCCGTCTGATGTCTGAGGCCCTGTCTCAGCACAATCGAAGCAGCGGACAGCAGGAAGGCGCAGGACACCCACCTTGGCCGAGATCTTTTGGTGGTTACTTTTGAAGGTTGGAGGCGGCATTTCGAGGGTCACCTTATATCGAGATGGCACTCCGAACCTGACCCTGCCGCCTGTGCGCATTGGAAAATAACGATTTCAGACATGTCTGTGTCCCAGCTCCCTGCTTATTGCCTGATTCCAACAAGCCAGCCAACCAAAGTTGCGGCGAAGATTTCATGGGTTACAATCGTGCTAAAGGGGTGGAAATGCGGGAAGCACTAATGGCGGGCGCCAAAGACTTTCATTGGGGTACACCTCTGAAAGGTGCGGGGCAACGTGTCTGCGGGCGGGTCATGGTGGGGATGTCAAAAAATGGAAAAGGGAGGCTTGCTTGGCCTCAAGAGCACCACAAGCCCATGAATAAATGATTCCTACGCAAATACTTGGATCACATTTCTGGCCAAAGCGCAGCAAATCACATGATTCCCCGTCATCAAGCTCAAACCTGAAATTTTCTGAAAGGCCTCAGAAGCTGACCGCATTGGACCCCGGTGAAAGGATCTACTGGCCTGTCCAAAATCATGGTTTTCGTTTGAGCACGTAAGGAAAGGTTTGACCCCCAGGTTCCTTGCGCGGCTCGAAACGGGGCTCGCTCGCTGAGTGTCCGGCCCAGCCGGGTGGGGCGGCCCGTGCCTCTCGGCTATCGAAGGTGGCAACCATCATGACCTGATGGAGTCCATTCCACAAGTAACAACAATTTCGGGGAAAACTCCACCTTACGAGGATCAGCGCAGGGCTTGGGCTGCACTTGAATGCTGTTTGGACCTTTACCTTTTTCCCCCTTGTCAAGGAACATGTTGTTTTTCAACCACGCAAGCAATCACCGCAGGAGTATCCCCAGCAGCTGGCCAAAGTTCCTTGCCAGCAAAATTCCTTGGCACTGCTGGAAATCACCAACCTCAAGCTCAGGATAGGCTCAGATGGTGCCGCAAGGAAAGACATGAACTTTTGCGCTCGGGTTCGGAACTCACGCTGTTACCTCAGTTGAAATAACTTCAGCCTCTGGAAGCCCCGTATGTGTTCAAACGAGGTAAGCTGGGCGCAGTTCGCCACAAATGGGTTTGAAACGCTGGACTTGCCAAGGACCGCGTGCTGGCATCATCGTTTCTTGGGGTTTCAACACTGCAGTATGCAGAAAGGGGTTCCTGGAATACATTGCGGGAGAATCAACAAATTAAAGCACTTTGTTGGCCACCAAAGTTCCCCATCTCCAGAGGAAACTTGAACCTTTTCTTCCTGTGGCCCAGGCGCCCGCCAGCACCAGCAGGGCAAAGCCACCTGAGATACTAGAACGGGCCCAATTCCGCAATACCGTTTAGAAGTCAACTCTCCTGACTACTGCATTAGTTTGGGGATCTGCAGGAGTGGCAACGAAAGCCCAAGTTCGTACCATGGTCGGCAAGGGCGTCGCGCAGGCCGAAGCCAGTGAAGGAACGGCATGGCTGGCGCATGGCTCCCACGCTAACACAGGAATACACCCAATAATGGTTGCCTGGTTGCCTGGTTAATGTGTCAGGCCGCGCCGTGCTCTGGACCCTGTCAAGATTCGGGTGATTCGAGGCTGCAACAGTCTCGCAGTTTCCACTTCTGCCTTGCTCTCGGTGCTGCGAAGGCACATAGCAACACGTAGCCAGACCTGGCAAAGTCTCCCCACGGTGCGACAGGAAAAGCTCAAACCGGCAATGTGTTCCGACGGCAGACCTCCCTGAGTGTAAGAAGTTGAAGAAGCTCGCGGCCACAGAATCACGCGCTGCTGTAGCCTGAGGTCCAGGTTTGCACGGGGTAGAAAAGGTCGCAATAAGTTGGCACACCGTCCGGCTAACACAACATGGAAACAAGGGCGGAAGCACGGGAGTCACAAGAACGCCTGTCAGGCAAACCATGAGGTGACAGCCTGAGGCGGCGTGCGCAACAATGCGGATTGCCATGGCTTGGCCGCAGCTATGAAACAGCCGTCATCTGTCCTACCCCGAGCCAACGAAGCAATGAGAAGTCCAGGCAAGATTGCGTTTCCGGTTTTGGATGACCGAGAAGCACCTCTCCATCAATCTGTGTTATTGCCATCAACACTTCCCCATCTGTGGCGACAGCTCTTTCTGCTCGGGCCTGGCTCCGTGCGAGAGAGCCGTACGAGACCATGTGTCTCGCGCGCTTGAAGCCCCTCATAAGGTGAAACATCATCACTCAGCTGGGCTTGGCGAAGAGCCAATCTTCAATCAACACAAAATCCAAGTCCCCGAGCTGCGTCAACATCTCCAGGCACTCCTCACGCAGCCCTGAAAGGACAAGAAAAGCATCTCGGCCACAAACTCGGAAGAAAACATGGATTGTTTGGAACACGCAAAAGAGCACTTTTGATGGGGGTTGCGCTCGTTTGCTTAGGGGTATGGAAAATGGATCGCAACCTCCTCTGCAAGTTGCCAGCTTCTGCAAGTTGCCAGCTGTGCTCTTGCAAGCGATCGACTGGAACAATCACACGGGCCGAGAGCCAATAAAGGCGATAAACAACTGCATTGTTCTTGCAATTAAAGGTTTATAAAACTATGCAAGTTACCTGGCGCCCATCGGTCGCCGTGTATGACCGAGCCAACAGTGGTCGGCAAGCCGACCTCTCATCCATCCTTCAACATGGCGGCCCCTCAAGATATCTCTCCTTCACCGAGTTGGCGATGGGTTTGCCCTTGGAGTTGAAGCTGGTGTTGAGCAGCACTGCCAGGCCTATGTGCTTCCCCACTGCCGTCAGCAAGGAGTGTAGCCAGGGCTCGTCCTTTGCCCAACAAAGGGTCTAGGTTTCTTGCAGAAGGGGGCTAGACCACGTTCTACTGGATTTTGTTGGGAACGTCCGCAGGATCTGGGTACCTTTCTCTTGCTGAAAACCTCCCAGGCCCAGTGGCCAAATTTCGGGTAGGACAGCATTTGCAAAGCATCGGACAAGCGGAAGCAGCCTTCGGACAAGCGGAAGCAGCCTTCCCCACAAAAAGCCAAAAGAAAAAATGAAACCACAGAGGAATTCCATGGCTACCCCTCCCCCCCAGTTTTGAAGGGTGGGATGTCTAGGGTTTGCCCCGTGTTGGTTCCTACAAAGAAAGGCCTCGGAATAAAAGGCGTCGACTGTACTGTGTTTGACACTACGGCTGTGGCTTCGGCTTGGTCCTCGGTTTAAGGAAAGGTGGATTGTTTGAGTTCGCGAAGAGAAGGTCATGGGGTGAAACTTAGGATTGGGCGTGCTGGAAGCTACAGGGTGCGCAGGGGGTTCAAGGCTGGGTTGGGGAAGTTGGGGTTGCCAAGCTGTGTGGGCGCGCTCCGAAAGCTTGATCTGCCCCGTCATCATCTTCTTGATTGCACGAAAGGCTCCCAGCCAAGACATCCTCAAGGATGGCTGCCGTTCTCATCTGGTGACACCACTCCACGTCAACTGGTGGCCACACAGCTGCCACACAAAGCTCTCTCCAGGAGCCTTCCTCCCTGCCCTTCCACTCTCCTCATCAACAAATTCGTCACGTAGCCCGTCGTGATAGCAAAGGCTGCGTCGTCTCGAGATGAGCAAATCGGTGCCTCAATTGGCAAAGGCTCCCTAGCCGGCTTGCATGACACGCCTGTGCACTTAACATGGTCCCGCCTCAGCTTCTAAAGGAGGTTCTGCCCAACCGCAGGAGCCGGCAGCTTCACCTCCTGCTGAGCCAGGACGAAGGGCGTCGTCATGCGCAGCAACACAGAATGTTGTTGCAGCTCTGTAATTTTTCACACCCCCATTCCAGCCCAGGTCGTCCCAACGTCACCCCACGCTGGATCCAAGTCCTGCATTCCATGACACCCTTTCAAGTCGCACGCCTCGCGCATTGCGGATGGAGGTCGCGGGATGGTGCTGTTCACGCATTCTATCACCTCAAGCTTGAAGTGACAAGATCTTTGAGGGAGGCTTGGCTCTTTGCCCGATGCTGCGTGTCGCGCGCTGGGTTCTTTGGCTGGGAGAACTGCCAAGCTTGGACATGGTGTCCGAAGGACCGAGAACTTTTTCGAGAATTTCCTAAGAATGTCCGAGAGTGCTTGTGAAATGCGTGCGGGCCGTGCCGGTACAACACTCCCGCTCGCTTGCTCGCCCGAGTATTTCTCTGGCCCGGCCCGCCCACTGGCCGGGGCCTCGCGTCACTCTTGCATTGCTCCGCGATGCCAAAACACACCGAGAGCACTCTGTCCTCTAAACCTCTGGGGCCTCTGCGAAACGCAGTCCATAATCCCTGCGCCGTAGATTCCACCCGGAGCTCTGTCAACAAGCAGTGATGACTGGAAAATCATGGAGCTCTCGACCACCAGCTTCCAGCGGCATCAACCGATCTACCTCCTGATCTCGCGCCCAGATCCTGCGACTCCACAACACAGCGCGAATCTTGCTTGACGCTACGCCGCAAGACCTCCAGGACGGAATCCGAGTCGCAATCCAAAGCACGCTGCCTAATGTGATCCCGATTGATCGAAGAAAGCAGAGACACCTCCAAAAACAACAGAAAGAGCAGCGAACGAGGACCTGCAGCCACGCAGCTTCACCTTTGCCCTTGCCTTTGCCCTTACCACTTCTCTAGCGGCTTGAGAGCCGCGGCCGTTGCGGGGGCGCTCAAGCTTTTCCTCCTTGCTGCAAGCGCTGTGCCCCAGAACTGGTTGCACAGGCTCAACCTTCGGCTTAGCCTTAAGACTACTCTGCCCTGCCGTTCCTCGACCCAGGGGGTGTCTGCGGAGGACTTCCTGCTCTTCCCCGCGGCTTCGCCAAGTTGCACAGGAACCAAACCCTAAGTCTGCAGATTACCTAAAATAAAGTTTCACCCAATTTACGTAAATCGTGAAAATTTAAGTGGAACTCCACTTAAATGTCAAAGTTAAATAAATTTTGGGCGCCAGAAAGTCGGGTCAAATTCCTGAGAGTTTCTCCAGATTTGTCAGTTTATTGAAAACACATTGGACCAAGTCCATTTGCCCTCAAACTGCTCTAAAGTATGTGAGGCATGCGCAGAGAAACGCCCCCGACAGTTCGCACGTTGGCTGATTACACTCAGAAGTCTGCAAGCCTTCCACTGGAGCAAGTGTAGCCGAAGTGCATGTTCTTCATGTGGTTTCCGTCGCCTTGCCTTACCTTGTCTCATCTCAATCTTACTTGGTGTGCTAATAGCAGCGACCAGAGCTGTCTGAAGCCCATCACCTCTTGACTATCCATTTGTTGAGGGACATGAAACACGTTTTGCCAAGCAATCCCAGGGGAAACATGTCAACAACATGTAATATTCACTTGTGATGGGGCTTGGTCGGCGTTGCGTTAGCTACGTAAAGGTAACCTAGGAGTAAGAAACGCCCTCCTCCCCCCCCCCCCACTGGAAATTCCTCCGCGCAATGTGGGTGAACATTTGTTGATTTACAACTGCCTAGTACTGCTGCCTCCTCGTTTCCTTTTCCTACTGCTTAATCTTGCTGCCTCCTCCTTGCTCTTCCTATTCTTTAGCACTTTGCATTTCCTGTGAGCTTACCTACTGCGTAGTACTGCTGCCCCTCCGCTTCTTTCCTTTGATATTTTCCTATTCACTAATATTGCTGCCTCTCATTTTCCATTCCTGTGGGCTTTTCCTATTGCTTAGTATTGCAGCCTTTTCGTTCTTTTCCTTTGAGCTCAACTTGGGCCAAATCCTGCCCTTCCCAAAGCACATGTTTTGATTGACAGGCCTTGTTTGGCTACCAAACAAATCAACCCCAACAAGGGGGTGGCGCAGGAAAGCCCGGGGCCCCAACTAGAACCTTATGTAGCCTCCCAAACAGTGTTGGTGTTTGTTTTTCCGGAAGGCGCACAGCAAAGGAAAAGAGGAGGCAGCAATGCTAAGCAATACGAAAAGCTTTGCCTTCGTGCTTCCTTGCCAGTTGGCTGGGCCAGCCACCGTCTTGCTTAATTAGCCAGCTGCCCAGGGACGCATTTTGAAAATTTATAAAACATGCTTCTATTTGGGGCCCAGTGCCTTTTTTGCGTTTTCCACTCAAGGGCTGTCAACAAATGCATGTTGGGAAGGTCTGAATTTGGAAGTTGAGCTTTGCCTTTGCGCTTCATTATCAATCGGCTGGGTCCCTTGGGTTTGTACAACCCCCCGCCACGCACGCGCACCCAACCCAGTGCACTGACACAATGAACTCGGGTAAGTGATGGCACAATGGGCTCAAGTAAGTGGCCGGGCTACATGCAGTCAACCTTCAAGGTCATAGCCGGCATGCGCATGATTCCAGCGATAGCTTGATTGATCCACTGTTTCCATGTGATGTCTGCGGATGTTCTCTGGTTCAGTTGACATGCTTCAAATGTTCGTATGAACTTTATTTGGTTGTTGTATGTGCGTGTTTTGCGTATGCACGGTGAATTGGGAATGTATTTTATATGCTTTTGGAATGTTCCAAATGCATACAAATGCGTACAACTCAAACACAGGTAATACAAAATTCGTATGAACTCTTTTAAAAACAACACAGAACATCCATACACAACTCACATACCTAGAGCACACACCTAGAGCACACAATAGAAACTTCGCCAGCAAACACCCATACAAAATGCATGCACCATCATACCAAAATCATGGAAAGCAGTGGACCAATGATGCACGTTATTGCTCAACTCACCCACGTGTAAGCTATATTAGCCTTCAGGATGTAGGCTCTCTCGAATAGATTATTCCCACCTCCGAGATCTTGATCTTCGGACATCGAATTCCCCCTTCAAAATGCATACCACATGCACATAAGTCCTTCCCCAACTCATGCACACATCACACACAACCCTGGAACAAGCAATTTGAATCAGAGAACATCCGTACACAATGCGTGGAAAGGAGTTGATCAGTGAAAGCTGCCAGTGGAACCATGTGCGTGTGTCAGTTATTGGCCTTGACGGTTGGTTGAATTTAGGCCGGTCACTTACTTGAGTTGATTGGGTCACCACTTACTCGAGTTCAGTGCGTCAGTGACTAGTTGGCATGCACTTGCAATTGTGCGCTAAGTTATGAAAGAATACACAAATCAAAGCTTCAACTTGGGCCAGCCTCCAAACCTTGAACATTGCTAGCCCGCCCTTCTGAAACGATAGCCCTTGTTCGGGAAACACAATCAACCCCAACACGGTGGGTACAGGAAAGCCCTGGACCGCAAACAGAACCTTTATGCAACCCCCCCCCAAGAAAGGTGTTGTTTGTGTGTTTAGGACAAGTTCACAGGAAAGGAACGAAAAGGTAGCAATACTAAGCAAATCAGCAATACTAAGCATACGGAAGGCCCAGGAGGCAGCAATACTTACCAATAGGAAAAGCTCAGAGGAAAGGACCGGAGGGGCAGCAATTCTACAATAGGAAAAGCTCACAAGGAAAAAGGGGAGGCAGCGATACTAACCACTAGGAAAAGAAGAGGCAGCAATACTAAGCAACAGGAGAACTTGCAGGAGATGCAAAATGCAAAGCAAGTAATAGGAAGACCTTACAGGAAAGGCAAGATGAGGCAGCAATACTGAGCAAAAGGAAAAGGAAAAGAGGAGGCAACAATACTAAGCATCTTTAAAGAAGCAAAGTTCCAACCAGCAACATTGTTCAGAAGAATTCCTAGTTGAGGGGCCGGGGGGGAATCCCCGTCCCTAAGGGGGGGGGAGTGGGGGACCTCAAAAAATGCAATTGATTTCTTTTTGGGGGGGTAGCCCTTGAAATATTCCAATTGTGGACCCCAACCTGCAACCCTTTTCTGGGACGAGCGTTCGGT